GGAGGAGGAGGTCGCCGGAAAGGAGGAGGAGGAGGTCGCTGGAGAGGAGGAGGGTAGTATGGTGGAGGAGAGAAGGGAAGATGGAGTGGAGGAGAGGAGGAGATGGAGTGGAGGAAAGGAGAGGAGGAGATGGAGTGGAGGAGAGGTGGAGTGGAGGAGGTGCGCCCAGCCATATATACGACATAGTAATGGCGCACCGTGGGCAGGTGCGCCATTACTAACTTTTTTTATTTTTTTGATTTATTTTGAATTTTGAAGGCGGGAAGATGCTAATGGCGCACCATGGGCAGGTGCGCCATTAGTAACTTTTATTTTATTTTTTTAACTTATTTTGAATTTTAAAGGCGGGAAGATACTAATGACGCATCATGGGGTGCGCCATTAGTAACTTTTTTTTTTATTTTTTGACTTATTTTGAATTTTAAAGGCGGGAAGATACTAATGGCGCATCATAGGCAGGTGCGCCATTAGTAAGTTTGATTTTTTTTGAATTTTTTTGCCTTTCCAGATCTTAAAAGCCCCGTAACTTTTTTCTGTTAGGTTTTTGAGGATTTTGAAAATTTTTAACGGGGTTCCCCGTTAAATTCGGATGTAACTTTTCGAGTAGATGATTTTTCATATAAAAAACTTTTTCATCCGAGTTCGTATGCAAAAATTATGCCCATTTTTACAAATTCTTAAGAGATTTTGCAAAAAACTTGAAAATTCATGTTTGTAAATTTTGCTAACAACTAGACCACATATCACATGAGAAACTTATTTTCTTTTATTTTTTTTTGATATTTCCATCATTTTTTTATTTTTTTTAAACTGAAAAGGCGGTCCAGGGGGTGGTGCATTCGGTGGAAGTGGTGGCCAAGTTACTAATGACGCCCCGTGGTATGGTGCGCCATTAGTAGTTCAACTAGTAATGACACACCACTCCCACGATGCGCCACTAGTAATTTTGAAAAAAAAATTATTTTTACTAATGGCGCACCGTGGGAGTGGTGCGCCATTAGTAGTTCAACTAGTAATGGCGCACCACACCCACAGTGCGCCATTAGTAGTTTTGAAAAAAAAATTACTAATAGCGCACCGTGGATGTGGTGCGCCATTAGTATTTGCACACTAATGGCGTACCAACACATGGTGCGCCATTAGTATATAGTAATGGCGCACCACATGTCTGGTGCGCCATTAGTGTCAATTCCATATATAGCCCTTTTCCTAGTAGTGATTCGTCCGGACCGCGCTATTCAGACCGTGAAAGTCATCTAACACGGGCATGTATCGGTCTGCAGCGCGGTCGGTACGCCTTTTCTCTCGCAAATTGGAGACAAAGTGGGGGAAAGTTTGAGGGAGTCCGGACAGCAGACACACAGAACTCCGACAGCCTCGGCCCACCCAATCCTCCCTCCCAGTCCCATTTCTTTCCACTCCACTCCTTCTCCCCCTTGCTTTACATCCGCACCTGCCACCTTCGATGCAGTTGTTGTACGTCTTCGGCCGTCACAAAGGCATTGCTAGACGTCTGCAATCATTACCGACACGCCCCGCTCACCTTTACGATGGAGCTGCCCACCTTGGAGCCGTTTGTACCCAAGTACACCCCCCCCCCTCGACGACCTCCATGGCGGACGAGATCGTAAGTTTTGCTTCCTCTTACTCAACTTGTTGATTGATTCATTCTCTCAATGTTGGTCTACACATTATATATAGCCCGCACGCGCTGCCGTGGTGTACCATAGGACAGAGGGACGGCCATTTACATGCACACACTGTTGAATGAAACTGAAGGGGAAGTATGTTTGGAAAGATATGATCCGTTGCTAAAAAACTCGTTGGACATCCGTAATCTAGTCGAATTTGAGATATTGTTGTATTAGACTTAATTTGCATGTTATGTATGGATGATTTATGTTAATTTTTTATCCGAACTTTGATGAATATTGGCCCATTTGCATGGATTTCGTCCGGTTTGTTGAAAAAAGTTCGAAATGTAATATTAAACTGTCCGTACCTGCGAGACAACCACATGACGAGCTTGGGACGGCCTCTCCTCGCTCCCGTGGGCGTGGGCGTCGTACACGGCTCCTCAATCGCACGCGTCATGGCCATGCGCATGGCTATGCTGGTGCGCAGCCGCGTGGGCGCGCATCCCAACGATGTGCATCGCGTCATGCTTGTCGTCGTCGCCGCTCATCCCGGTGGCAGCGACACCTGCGAGCGCGCCGTCCTCGAGCAGAGCCGTCGTGTCGTCATGCCCAGCTGTGGCCGCCGCGGCAGCCTCCTCGCCGTGCCTGCGCTCGTAGAAGCGGGTGCCGACGAACTCCATGACGAGCGTCCCCAGCGCGGCGAGCATGGCGATGAAGCCCGGGAAGGGGAACCGGCGCCAGGGCATGGCCGGGAGGCACGGGTCGGACAACTTCTCCTCAGCGTCGTGCAGCATGTGCACGAACCCGGTGGCGAGGATGACCCCCGCCGCGAACGCCTTGGCGAGCACGAACGTCCCGCTGCCGGAGGACGAGCCCTCTTCGCCGCCGCGCCTCTTGCCGCCGACGAGCGGGATCGCGACGCCGATCGCGCCAGCCACTAGGATGGCAGCGACGGCCACCATCTTGAGCCTGAGCGCGGCCGGCTCATCGCGGCACTCGTCATCGCCGCCGGCGCCCGGCCCCTCCTCGCAGCTGGCCGCGGAGACCGACGCTGCCATCGCCGGCCAAGCGGTGCCCGGCGCGTCAGAATCACGAGCTCCCATGATGTGTTTAGCGATGAGAGGAAATGGACATAAACAGCACATGCATGGATGTAGTAGTACCTGCGAACTGGTGCAGGTGGGTGCGGAGGTAGGGGACGTAGCGCGACTCCATCTCCTGCCACCACACCAACCAATGGAGGATTCGAATGATTATCACCAAAAACTGACGAATTTTGCCTCACGGTTCAGTAGAACAACGCGGCAAGAGAAGGCGCTCACCTCGAAGAACGCCATGAGTGACAATGCCGCCGATCCGAACCTGCTGTGCTGGTGTCCAGAACAGTCGACGGATTACTCGATCCAGTTCGAGGAACGGAGTGGACTTTCACGAAATTTATACGCGCACGCGGCCGCACCTGCATGCGACGTGGAGCAAGAGCAACAAACACATCGGCGCGCGGGGAGGATGTTGTCATCCCCAAGCCGCCGCCGTCGGTCGGGACCAGCGCCGCGGGTGGGCCCGGTTTGGCGTGCGCGGCGGAGGCCGAGTGGGCCGTACGTGCGATGGGGCCCGGGCATCAGTGGCTCGCGTGGTGTGGTGTGACTCGGCTGCTTTTTGTCCCGGCGGGACGCGGAGGTGCGACGAGTCCACGATGTCGACACTATGGCGAGGAGCGACGCCCTCCCGTGCGTGAAGCCGGACGCTCGTTCTCGCCTGTGGGCGGCATGACCTGTGCTCG